TCCTAGTCCTTAATGCCTTGTGCCAATGTTAACTTTGCAGATGTCCACTCCCAACTACCCTTGCAACATCCACCTCACACCAGGCCTTGTCCTGGATGGTAAACTGAGGCACCAGGAAAATACTTGAAGTAGCAAAGTTGCAAGTTGAATTAATGAAGTACAGTTCAGCCTCTATTGCCAAAACTATATGGCAACCCCCATCATACACAACTTCATATTTGTGCTTTGCACAAGGAAGATACAACTGTCATTCACTTTTATTTCACATGAAGGGGTTTCAGTGCTCTTTGCCCCCACGCTCACTTCAGAAGCCTGTGTAAATCTTCCCCCACATGGGAATCATTTTGAACGTATTAAATAATGATTTTTCTATGTCTCTCCCACTTTGATGTAGCCTCCTAGGAGAAAGAACTATCCTGGATATACCACTTGGTCATGTTTTAACAATTTGAGGTTTGCTTCAAAATTCTTCAATAAAATGTAAGTTAAAAAAAAAAGCTCCAGCATTTAGCTCAGTTGATAAGAGGCCCTGTCCCCCCACAAATTATAATGTAGTAACTTTTTGAACATATACTTTAAATTCACGATTCGTTTCCTATTTTTAAAGCTATTTTTTTATCATTTGATTAATTGCTTAAAACTGTACACAAAGATAAAGGGAACTTTGAAATTCATACCTTGGAGTATTAACATGTACTCAGGACTAGATGTAAATGTCAGAGAGAAAAAGATCTAATGAACTCTTTATTGGTGAAATACAGTATTGCAGCTGCCTAGAATTTTAAATGGTTTCTAGTCAGCTCCAAAGCAAAGTAACTACAGAAGTTTACTTACAGCATGGACTCTCATTCAGCATTTCCAATATCTTCTTCTAGGGTAGATGGAAGCCATTTGTTTTGCTAGAAGTTGCAGCTACTTCATTTTGTTGAAGTTTAGTGGATCCTTTTAACATTAAAAAATGTCCAGAAAAAAAATAATAATGAAAAAAAAAATTGCAACCACAGAAAAATTTTCCTGTCTAGAAAATTACATGACCATAAGTTTTCCTTTTCCCTGATGCCTTCTCTGCCATAATAATGGCTTCAGAATTTAAATCCTTTGCTGCTATTGTGACTTCAAAGCCTTAAAACTGCAATTGAATGAAGTAGTTCATCTGTCATTATTCAAATATGAAGCAATTATGATGAAATAAAGATAGAATTCCATTGAGAAATACCCCAATCAATTCTCACTTATATTTAACTAGAAACATAAAACGATGCTTAGAAGAGTAAGTTTAGGTAATAAAAACTCAGCATATAAAAAGTATGAATTACTGATCTATAACTTACTCATTTCTGAATAAGCTGTCTAAATATATTTCACAAATATTGACAAAAGTTTAAGCTTACGAAGCAAAACTGTCTCTCAGCTGGTTGTGGAGAGTGAGTGGCTTTTCAGAAATGCATTTGCATTAGTTTGTGGACCTCGAGGTTCAGATGGGAACCTGCAGAGATTTTTAGGGGTCTCTGAGCGGGTCAGCTCCATTTGAAAGGTGTCAGATCACGACATGCTAATTGCATCTGAAAAGAGGGGGTTTTATAGGTGAGTACATGAAATAACACACCTACCTCAGCCATGTCTTCATTATAGCACTGAACATGGCAGTGCCGGGCTGGTGGTTGGACTCAATGATCTTTTATAACCTCAACAATTCTATGACTCAGGGAAAGGCATTAAAATAAAATATTGCTGTCACTGCTTTGATGTCTACACATCCTGGCAGGCCCTAATATGGATTCAGCCCTAAATGCTTGTTTTCACCTTTGTGAATCCAACTGAGGCCCATCCCTACACCAGAATTCCACAGGGAATTCCCACCTGTACCCAGTTGTATTTGGGAATATGTAACACAGATTAAAAAGTTAAAATATTTTTTTTTATTATTATCTTTCAACCTTGCTTTCTCCTTTCATCTTTCTTGCTTGATCTACCCATGTTTACTAGTTTGCTGGTAAAAGGTGGATTCTGTAGCAGTCAAACCAAGGAGTCCCAGAGTTTTGGGTCTTAAGCTCTTCAAATAGGCCTCATCCTCCCCATTTTCAATCATGTCACAAACTCAGATGAGAAAAGCACTGCATGTCATGCCCTTTTCTTCGCTCATATTGTTCTTTTGGAAAACAAACCCATCCTTCTCTGCTTATGAAAGAGGACTCTGCCTTCTCTTTTGCCTTCCCGTGGCAAAACAGGGTTAAAAATGCACAAATAGTATATTCCCCTGATTTTCCACAGCTGCTTAAGAGCTCTGTACAGTTTTAAATTCTGTTGTGCTGAAGAAAGATCACACAAAGATCACACACAAAACAAGGCATCTACATATTCACATTTATCTTCCTTCATTTTGTAGCCATTTTATCACTCTACCTGGGTATCAATCTTCTGTCATCTACAGACACTCATGTCTTGCAGTTCAATTTGAAAAATGTAATTTCTTTAGACAATCCAGGAACGAAATGTTATCACAATTAAAAAGCAGTGATATTTAATATTGAAGCATTTGGGGTATATACAATTAATTATTTCACAAATAATTATACATGATGTTACTCTAAATGTGAAAACTTAAAGCATTTGAAAAAGCAGACTGTAATATTCTTCTTTTTTTTTTTTTCTGCAGAAGCTCTTTCACTTGATATTCTTTTGCTAAATAATATGTAAAATACTGACACCTAATGTTAACTTTCAGTATTATTCATTTTGCAAAACTTTTACTTCCAAGTAGACAAAGCCCATGTGAAACTGGTGCTTATGCTGCAATTTTGTTTCAGTAAAATGCAATGTAGCCTTTTCTCACTTTTTGGAAATAATATTCTGAATTTGTACATGTCCCTATAAAAGCCAGGAGCTTTCAGGTTTATCTTTACAGCTCACAGGTAAAAAAGAGAGAGTAACTCAGAAAAGTTGAAAGAAGTGAGTTTTTGCACAATGAATTTAAGTAAATCCATCAAATGAAAGACAAATACTTTTTTTTAAAGTCAGCATTTTTACTTGTAGCCTGAAATGATACTAAAAGACAAAATACTATTAAATATTTATTAATAATCTCTTAGTCTTTGAAATCTAAAGTATATTTGGTACTTTATCTGCCCTATTTGGTTCACTTTCCTCAACCAGAGACACAAGACATTGTTTTCACAGTTTGTGGATTAAATGCAGATGCCAAACTTCACAAATTTCACCATTTATCTCCCTGTAACGGCCAAGACAGCAAATCCAAAACCTGAGGTCTGGCTGCTGTTTAGAAAGAGATTTTGACATTCTTCCTCCTCTTGTGTTTGTCACACAATAAGGTTCAGCTGATAACAGAATAAGATATTTTACAGCATGACCTAGATCCATCCTATATCTGGATTTATATTAACCTTGCCTAACTTTATAGGGAAGACATAAGTGACTGCCAGCCAGAGCTGTATAGCAGCACAAGTGCTTCAAAAGCACTGACACTGAATTAAAACCCTTTCCAACACTGTGGACCATCAGAGTTTTATGTTCAGTGCTTTTTTTCAGCAAGAGTTGCTTTATGGAGAACAGTCCTTTTCTAGGATCGTGTCACTTGACAGATAAAGCAGCTGAGCTGCAGGTATAAGTATAAAAATAAACCCATGAAAACACAGATACCTGGACTGCAACACAACCATCCAGTCTCAGCTGAGCTAAAGAACAATGGAGTAGTCTTCACCACACCCCCAAATCCCTTCTCACCCTTGAAGTAGAATAAAAAGAAATATAATAGAATCCTAGAGAAGTTTGGCTTGGAAGGGTCATCTATTCCAATAAAGGTCATCTATTCCTATAAAGGTCATCTATTCCAACCTCCCTGCTGTGGACAGGAATATCTTCACCTAGATCAGGCTGCTCAGAGCCCCAACCAACCTGGCCTTGAATGTACCCAGGGATGTGGCATCCACCAGCTCTGGGCAACCTGTTCCAGTGTTTTAACACCCTCACTGTAAAATAATGCTTTCTTATGGTTTTAAACTCCCCTTCAGTTTAAAACCATCACCTCTTGTCCTGTCACATCAGGCCCTGATGAAAAGTTTGTTCTCAACTTTCTTGTAGGCCCCCTTCAGGTAGTGAAAGTACGATCAGAAATAATTTTCTAAGTGTATCATACCAAAAATCAGACACATTGAATGTCATCAGAAAGTTCTACTTGATTCTTGAAAAAGGGTATGTGAACAGTACAGGGCTATAGGGGCTTAGTTGCCATTTATGCCAAGATGTTATTTATGTCTTGAAACCACTTGGATAATGTGTTGGTGAAATATAAGCAGTTTTTCTACATTGCTTTTAGCTGCCTGGTGCAAATCTCTGCAAAAATTCGTGCCACACAGTAAGTTAACAATGAGACATTTTGCTGCTGCTAAAAGGGTTGAGAGTTCATTTTGCCTAATCCAAATTAAATCTTGTTAAAACTGCAGAGAGTGTTCATAGAGTCCTTCACTCTGCTATACACGAATCTACAGCTGTTTTCAGCTTTCTCAAGCCCATTATCCCCAAGATGACTACCTAGAAAGATCAACTGCTTTGGTTTAGCCAACTGTATCACACCAAAAAATGTATCTGCGGTGTAAATTTATTTTACAATTAAAAAATTAATAAAACCAGAATTTCAAAATATTGGGCCCTTTGAAAGATCTGGTGTGCAGCAGTTAAAAGTTTTGAAACAACTAATTGTTCAACTTTTACTTTTCAAGTATACCCTGTGCTTTAAATAGAATTACTAAATTAAAAATGTAAATTGGACTGTATCTTTTAGCAGTTGGTGATTTGTCTATTTTCCACATTTTATTATGTATCATTTTTATAATAAAGAAGGGATTTTTTTTTTCATTCCTGTTCTACTTGATAGCAATTCTGCCATGCTTCTCAAAGCTAATGTAATAAAACTACATAAAATGTTCAAGAAAAGCCCCATTAAAATATACAAAGCATACTAATTCATGGAGTCAAAGTCAAAGCAGAGTGGAAATATGAGCTTTAATAAAACTATGTCTGTTGTAAATAACTATTCAAGCACAGTCATTTTTTTGCAAATTGCATGGGATATAGCTCAGTCTACTCGAAGCAAAGAATCGCTCAGCAGAATAAATGCATCTTGGTCAGAAAGAGATTAAAAGATACAGCTGAGCCATCAATAAGAAGCAGATAGTGCAGTATTATTTGCTGTTTGTTTTGAAGATGTAATTGCAGATCCCAGGATTTCAATAAATCTGTGCACATCACGGAATGAATTGTAGAGAGGAACTGGGGCAACGCGGAGAGCATTTGGTTCTCGCATGTCACACTGCAAAACAGAGGGGGAACATTCAGTAAATTCAGGTCACTTCATGTTTATCTGTCAGACTATATTTTCAAATGCCACACTTGTCTTCAAGGAAGGATGACTGGACTGACAAGGAGACGCATGTAAATACCTTTGGATCCTCAAAGAACTGTGGTGAGGAGAATCATTGTGAAAAACATAGTGAAAAGAGTAATGCATTGCCTAAAAACAGATGCCAAGTTCAAGATGGGTAGGACTTTAGAAGTGCTATTTAGGGCTCCAGACCAGCTGTGTATGCCCAAAATTCACCTTAGTGCCTCTAACAACCTACAGTTGATGAGGCACAAGGGTGACAAAAAAAAAAAGAACAACACAAAAACTCCACATTCCAATAGGATAGAGAGTGTTTTACTACAGGTACAACTAATATCACAAGGCTTGCAGTACTTTTTTTCTCTCTCTGTGTGAATTTGAACATTTTCCTGAATGTAATAATCCCTCATATTTGAAACATATTGCTGCATTGCAAAGACAAGCCAATAATGTGAGGCCTTGTGCCCTCTTAAAAGCAGCAGTTCCTGGAATTCCCTGGCAGTACCAAAACAGCAGCACACTTAGCCTAGAAGAGCTGCCCTTTGGGGAGACAAGTCACCAGCAGAAATAAAACTGATGTCTCATTTATATGGTATTACACTATCAGCCTCACCTTCCAGCACATCTAAATCACCCAATGTATGGCCTTAAATTTAACTTATATTCTTTTGGGGAAGTGTTCCGTGGTAATCATTCCATTACATGGCAGTGCCATTCAGTGGTTTCTTTTTCTAAGTGCACAATTAAAGATTGAAGATGTAAGAAATGTTCATCAGTCCTAGTGGTGTTTTTTTTTTCTTATATGAGACTTTATTTAAATAAAATAAAATTATCACTTTGTTATGGTATAGGCTCACAAAACAATGCATAAGAAGATGAAGTTTGATTTACTCACTGCTACTCCTCTCTTCTCCAACTCTTTAAACACAGATTTTATGGGAAGGGAAAACGATAGAGTGAGTTGGCATCCTCTTTCCTCAATCCGAGATGGTGTGATAATTTTTACAAAGGGCTTCTCTGGGTTTGTTTTATCCTCGCTGTAGTAATGTTTTATCAGGTATTCCAAGTAACCGGTGAGTAGAATGGATTTCCTTCTCAATGCCTTCATCGTGGTTTGACTAAAAACCTACAATGATTTGAAATCACTGGAATGAGAATGTGTTGCTACAGAAAAAGGAAAGGATATAAAGAAGACTTAAAAGGGTGGCACATTTCTCCATACATTATCACTGGAATCCAGCAGTAATATCAGATAGATATTATACATAAACGTGGCAGAGCTGGGCTTTTGAAAACACGAGGTAATGTTATGCTTTAGATAATGAAAGACATTTGTGTCTACTGTTAAAAGTTCTCATACACATCTATCCCTGCATAACTGAACTTGCACACAAAACCAGTTTGCTAAGAGAGCGTTCATCTGCATGTCTGAAGAGGATCCATAAATTCCCTGTAGATGCTACACTGTTGCACAAAACTCAAAATCACATGAAGGTTTCTCCATGTATGTACCTCTAGTACAAACCTTCTCGCCCTCCACAACTGCCTGACAGGAGGGTGTAGCCAGGTGTGGGTCAGTCTCTTCTCCCAGGTAACAAGTGATAGGAAAAGAGGAAATGGCCTCAAGGTGCACCAGGGGAGATTTAGGTTGGATATTATGAAAAATTTCTTAACTCAAAGTGTTCTTGAGCGTTGGAACAGGCTGTCCAGGGAAGTGGTGGAATTACTGTCCTTGGAATTGTTCAAAAGGCACATAGATGTGGCACTTGAGGATGTGGTTTACTGGTGGGCCTGGCAGTGGTGAGTTAACAGCTGGACTCGATGATCTTAGAGGTCTTTTCCAAAGTAAATGATTCTGTGATTCTACTAACAAAATCCAGGGGCTGAGACTGAAACATCATGACAGGTCTACAAATTCTTTCCTTTAAAAGTTCAAAATTTCTACTAACATACTGGTTTTACTGCTTTAAGTCCTGTAGAGGCTCTCCCTCTAGTCCACATGAAGAAAAAATATTCACTAAATTCTTGTTTAATAATTGTGCTCTGACACTGCTGCAAGAACTGGTGAGTTTCAGAAACTCAAAATATCATAAGACCTGCAAAAATGACTGCCTGAAAATTGCAGTGCTATTTTGCCACACAAACAAGAACAATGTGACAGAGGAGTTTGGAAGCAAAAGACGAGGAAGCTTCTGCTTTTGCTCTGGAAAGGCTCAGTTACAGGGAATAATGAAATAGGTGACTCCAGAAACAATCTACCCACGCCTTCCTCAAACCCTCTCTTTTCTTCTTCCCATGGAAGTAGCTTCAGGGAAACATGACAAGACATAGATATGCAAGTGACCAACAGCCACTTCAAATCACATCCTGGCACATCAATGCAATATTGCTTCTCTGGACAGTTATCCCTCTACCAATTGCAGCTGGAAAATCAGAGGCAAGGCAGATATCCTGGATGAAAATCCATGATCTTCACTCTCAAGAAGTCACTGTTCCAGACTGGAGGAGTAACAATTTTAAGATTACTTATATCATAACCTGGAAGAGTACGTAGAGAGGTACCTGAGAAATCCCACTCAAAATACAACAAACTCTGGTTTCCAACAGCCTCTGGAAATCATTCTTTTGTAGAACATCCAAAGTCTCACTCCCTGATGTTTTCACAACCACTAGATGCTGCACAAAACCAAAAGCCCCTGCATGTGTTTTCTGTGAAATGGAATATGGATGCTGTAAGACAGAATTTGCAAGGAAATGAACGTGACAGGGACCAGAGCCACCAGCACTCAGCACTTGCACAAGTCAACAAAAACCTAGAGGTGCTTCCCTCACCACCCAGGCAGAGAGAAAACACACAGCACTGTTCAGCACATAATGGAGGGAAAACAGAGACCTGCCTCCTATTCCTCCAGGATTTGCAGCAGTATGAAGGATGGATCTCCTCAGGCTGCATGCAAAAATCTGTTTCCACAGGCTTTGAGCAAGGAATATTTGGTCTCCTGGGTGAAATTTTTTGAAAAAGGTCTTTTAAATGTGGCTGTAGAACGCTCCCCTTTTTTCCGTAACAGGGAGCAGCTACTGCCATAACAGTCACTTTAAGCATTATTGAGGAATAACATCCATTAACACTTGCAGTTTTCATTGTTTCCATTGGAAACACTGCCTTCTGTTTAATGTGTCCCAGTGAAGGTGGCATGCAATTTCACTAGCCATCTCTTGCCAGACATGAAAACTATTTTGTTTCCCACTGTATTAGAGCAATTAGCACTGGGAAATCCTGGCTGTGCCAAAAGGTAATGTGGGCATGGAAAGGGGAGGCGATGGAAACTGCTCAGCCCTCATTGTTCGAGGCTCCCTGCAGTGGGCTAAATGACACCAGCCCACACAAACCAGAACACTGACAATCTGGGTCATAGCAGAATAGCTTTCAGCTTATCTCAAAGGTCACATAAAGTTTAAAACAATATATTGGATGTTTAAGGACTAACAAAACAAATTGTCAGGCAGAACAAGAAGCATTGCTGTGCCCTTTGCAGTCCTTCAGCGTTGCATGTAAGATGAAGAGAGCATAACTGGCAATTTTCTGACTTTGTTTGCTTAAGATACTGGTTTTTTGGTAAATAAAGAAGAGAGACATACAGTGCATGGACACTGTTCTTTGTTCCAGCATCAGCTTTGTTGTTCTACTAATATTAATGGAATGCTAAGCAGAAATATATTTCACCCGTTTCTGCTGGTGGCAAAAACTTGCTCACCAAAGGCTGGCTTGAAAAGCAGCTTAGGGATAATTTAATACAGCAGAATATTTAGCATATAGTTTGTTAATATGAGTTAAACCATCTTTTTCAGCCACAAAGACCCAGAGTCCTGATTTCAGGGGTGAACCATCTGTAAGGGAAATGCTGGTACATCTCGATATGAAACACATCATCATGTAAGGTGTTGGGAGTACAACTCCATGCCTTCAAAAAGGGATGAATTGCGCTCTCCAAAGTCGACCACAGGCTTTCAGCACATGAATCACACATTTACAGAAAGGAGGGATTATCTTTGTGTGGCAGAACTGCCCTTCCCAATGCCATGGCCTCCACAATTCACACAGAGATAGGACAGAGATGGGGCTCTGCTCCTTCGGCCACCAGAAAACAAATGAAGAGATGAAAGAAAAAACATTCTGGAGCTATGCCACACATAAACTCCCCTTTTAGGAAGCATTCACAGACAGCTTCTGTCTTTTCTGTTTGTAACCAAAGGGACAACAGTAGAAGACAGGTTCCCTAAGCCAATGGTTCAATGTAGACTCCAGAACATCCACTTCTTTCATAAAGGAATTAAGTATACTTTGCTCAGGAATTATATGTAAAAGCAACCCTGGATGCAACTTTTCAGAGTTATGTGATTCCTTTTTAGGAAGGTCTTGGACAGCATCCTTTGTGTGAGTTCCACTGAAGCAAAACCGAATATCTCTATGGGACAGCTCGGCTGTTCATACTGAGCCCCTAAATTTAAGTGGGAAAAGCCCAGTGCAGTCACTGGGTCCAACAGCAAAGTCTGTGAGAACAGTGAAGGGATGAGTATATTCATTACAGGCCTTGGTGTCTCAGGGTTGTGGGGTTATTTTGTTTGCTGAAGATTTCTTTGAGGCAGACAGCAATAATACATGTAACATTCATTAAACATTTTTATACTCTTAAATTGAAGCTCAAAGTAAAGCAATTACTTACCTCTAAACTGGCGTGCAGAGCACAGACCAGTAAAATTGGAGGATTTGATAACCGAAATCCATTAATTCCTTCACTTAGTTGTAATTCTGGAAAATGAATAACTTATATTAGTGTTTTTGATTTCTTCCTTTTAATGGATTGGACCTTATCTTGAAGTCTGTCCTCACGCAATAAAATATTTCCCTAATGTGGCCTGTAGGAATCGGTCATTAAAAGCAAACAGTAATCTATTCCCAGCTAATACTTTTAACTTCGAGAAAAGCCCAATTTTATCCAGCAGAAGACCTCATTAGCAGCTTCAGGGGAACCAGAGGACTGCAATTAATTTGTTTAAATGGTGTGTGTTAAAACCACCTTTACACTTGAATCTCTTTTAATGCTGGCACAAAGCAGAGAAATTCCAAGTCAGCAGCGGCGCCGCTCACGCGGAGCCGGGAATCACGTTCCTTAACTTTATTAAACTGACGAGACACATGGGAGGCTGCATATGCAGCTAAGTGTAGCTTCAGGCCACGTAGGGAAGTTGCCCAGACTTTGGGCTGTGAAATTTTCACGAAATCTGTTTAATAAATCTACAAAGCCTCGCTGTAAGTTCCGTGTCACCGTCTATATTTCATGCTCCAGCACCAGAGCAAGAGGATGCGGCGGAAGAGACGCTCTTCGCGCACAGCAGACTGGCTAATTTTATAATGCCCAACTTCTCCCCTACAAACTGCTCATGGAAATGAATAAACAATGTTTTCCTCCTTCTAACAGTGTTTCAAGGCAATTTGTGTCTCCTGCTGGCTTTCCATAGTGCCACTCTCTTGCATTTGGTCAGGAAACAAAGAGCAGACTGAGGCTATTAGGGAGGTGTTCTCCAGCCAAAGCCACATCAACAGGCGCTGCCACAGAAAATTAAAAATATATTAAAAACGAAACAACCAATCAAACCAAAAAGCTCCTTTCTCATCCTGAACCCCCAGGATATTCTCTCTGCCATACTTTAAACTGGAGCTGAGCAGTCTGGCTGTCAGATTTGGAAAGGAGTCCTCATTTTGTATTGGGACAATAAATACTTGACTATTTCAGAGCAGGTTTTGCCTCATAATCCATCCTCTCCTAGTGCAAGAAATTTGGAGATGCTGAAACCTTAGTGGTATTTCGTGACTTATGTCAGGTTTCCTTACCTTTATTTATGTGATTTCTCGTTAATTCCAGTGGAACTAATCCTGAAGTAAGATATTACCCAAGTGAATGATAGCAGATCCTCGCTCCTCAGGGACTTATGAATTTAATTCACTGAGATACTTTGAAAGTTTCATCCATATTCTATATCTGCATTTTGAAGGTATTTCAGCAAAATGTCTAAAAGCAGACAGTCAGACCCATATGCCCACACATAAATTCATTCCAACATTTATTTTGTTAACTCCATTGCATTACATGTTTTGGGTGACTTTAGCTTAATGCCTTTAACATAAGTGAGGAAATTGAAAGCTCTGTTTTTTCTCCTCAAGCTACTATGAAAGTAGAGCTGGTTAGATATAAATACACCAAATAAGGTAAAATTGGAAGGGTAAAAGTACATACTGTTTTCCATGAGGAATCTTGTTTTGAAGTCGTGACCCCACCAGCCGATTAGCCTAAGATTTTACAAAGAAAGTAAGTTAATAGAAATCTCTGTATAATATCTTTTAATTTAATTTGAGAGCTAAGAGCAGTATAAAATTAAGAAATATATACATTTCCAATAATACATTTTATTTCTAAAAAATACATTAAAATGCAATAAATTCTATAAAGAAATAGTACTAAAAATTTACTATTTGGAAATTTCTCTTTTACTACTAATGATAAAACACACCACATCTTTCAATTAGCTATTGATTTTTAACAATATTCATTTTCCCTGAAATCATTTCACAAAACAAAAAATAGAACAGAAATATTTCCACTGTTTTCTCCCAAGGCATTAAATTCAACCCTCACCCTTAAATTTATTTTAATGATTATTGAAAGCTAAAAGGTGTTATGAAATCTGACTTAGTTTCACCAAGAAAGGACTTTGTAATGAACAGCAGGCAGACAACAGGACCTCAGAATGAGGATTGTGTGGGCATTGCCTTGTCTTTACTGTGAGACTTCAATGTGAATTCTGCACACACTTTTCTTCTCCTGAATTGACCTTATTAAAAAAAAAGATTCTTTAAAATAAAAATCAATCCAATTTAATCCAATATTCCTTTTTTTAAGGTTATGCCCAGAAAAAAAAACCCAAACAACTTTTTTTAAAACAATTTCCCTGAGCTTGTACATTAAGATGACACTACATTATTAACTCACATTTACTGAAAAATATACTCAAGGACATAGCTATTAACAGTTTTCCAAAGCAGCTGGATGCACTGGATCACCTAATGCCCAAGGCACAGCAGAGAAAATCAATATTGCAAAATCGAGGAATCTCTCTCCATCTCCCTTGGGTTCTCTACTTCTTAACTCAGCCCACAGTAATACCAGTGACTAATATTGTCAGTTCTACTTGAGATTCCCCATGTATCAGTGCTATTACAATATCAAGGAGTCACGATTGCAGACTCCTTCCTGAACTTCCAAGCTCTACAGGACTGGACGTATTGGACACCATTTCCTCCAAGGTTTTGCTCAGTTTTCCCTATGCCAGCAGAGTTGTTAGGCATTAAGCCTGGTAAGTGTTCAAAAGTTGTAATAGTAAAAAAAAAATCTACAAGTAAAACTCACAGTAGATCAGCATTCCTGGAAGTAAACAGGGAAAAGAAAGTCATGGCCCCTCAGTAAAGCAGGAACACTTTGCAGTTTGCCTAAAAGAGCTTAGCTCTGCAGAATTAAGACCACTTTCAAGTTAGAAACTTGTTATATGAACACTGCAGAGTGTAAAATAAAGTATTTCATATTTCTGTATAACAACGCAGGTTTTATGTTTACTTCTATGAGAGGTTCTGAGCTGCATCCAAACAGAGTGTACACAGAAAAAGCACGTTTTTTTCTTTATTGCTGCATGATGTTTTTATTATTCTAAGACCCATGAAAATTAATAGTGCAATATACATTCATTTCACGTGAGATATTATATTGCCAAAATGAATACACCCCAAATAAAGTGTAATGCAGCCTCTGCCCAAGTGACTCAGTTACTGATGCTTTGAATCATAAAAGATATTTCAGATATTTTATATGAACTCTGTAATATATAGACAACATTGTAGAGAAAACCCTAAATATTCTATGTTACTACAACATACTACTAAAGTCAATGGCACACACATTCCATGAATTCCAAAAGATTTAAAGAGAAAAAGTCCACGGGAAAGATAACATTTGGACTATTACTCTGCAGCAAGGCGAAAACAGTTCTAAGTTTTTTGTGGACCACATCCTAAAGTGAAAGACAAAATAAATATCAATCAGACTGTGACCCAGGTCGAGCCTGATGAAAAGCACTCTGGTTGCATCGTGAATGCTCAAGACTCGCTAATTCTGAAATTGGCTTAAACCCAGGACTCTGCTGCAGCACCACGTTTGCAACTTGGAAACTGAAATTTCAGAACTTTTCCAAACTGACAGAATGAAGGATTTTTTTAAAGACAGTTTTAGCTGTCTTGCCCTTTCCTACCATAATTTGACAATTTGCTTTTTCTCTTCTTATTTTTTTTTTTCTTTTTGGCTGTTCTAGAACTTCAGAGGTGTCACTACAGGATGTGCACTTTGAGGCAGCTCTGGTCCTACACTCTCGTTGATCTAATGGTCCATATGGATGTCACGTTATTTGACATTTAAGCTGACAGGCTTCAAAGTGTGGAAATTAACAAAATCTTCACAAATTATAGCAATTTGCTGTTTACAATTTTCTGTGAAAATTTTGAAATGAAGGTTGCCACTGCTATGCCAAATTTCAACCTGTTATGATGGGAAAGAGCTAAGGTGTTAAACCCCAAACATAACGCTTTATAAATGCTCACTAAAAATAATAGGCAATAAAACTGCACATTAAGTTACTGCAGTAAAATTTCTTATTAAAGAGTTGTTATTCTGCATGCAAAGTGAACTGCAGTCACCATTTCAACTATCCCTCTTTCAAAAAACAAAAGCAACAAGATCTAAATTGATTTTGAATTCCAAAACATTTTTTTTTGCAAAAATCGTAGTGAGGAAAGCTCTGAAAAGCTTTATATGATGTGCTTGTGTTTAAAACCACCTTAAACATGTTAGTGATGAGTCTCTAGAGTCACATGCTTTTCACTGCAGACAAAACCCATTTCGGAAAGTCTGTTAAAAATCAGTGTCTAAGGAGAAAAGGGTTTAATTTTGCAAATGTTCCACTATAATTTTAAAAATGCAAATTTATCCAAGCCAAACCCTTGTTTTAACACAGCACTAATCAAAATTGCTACCCCAGTGATGAATGATTTGTGGTTGCAGCATCCTCCTGCCAGTCCCAGATACCTCCAGTAGCCTCCCAAAGCTGCTCAGCAGAGATGTCCTGGAACACCTTCACAGTGAACATCTCTCCATCCAAGAACAAAAACATACATGAAATACTTTGCAATCATGCCAAAAAGGAGAGTAAATTAATGCTGAATTAGCTGTGGGTTTTTCTGCAAGGTGTGCATGCTCTTCTGCAAGAAAATAACTTTTAAATAGATAACTCCTTGTTTTAATCTATGCCTGAAATTAAACCCATGGTCATAGAATGGTTTGGGTTGGAAGGGACCTTAAAGATCAGATCTTACCAACCCCCCTGCCATAGGTAGGGACAGCTTCCACATGATCAGGTTGCTCAGGGACCCATCCAACCTTGCCTATGTCCTCATGGTTTGACAACACTGAGACTATCCTAGAGAATTCTACAATTTTCTGGTCTTTGCATGGAACTAATTTTTACACTTGCCACATAAAATTTAAAACAAACTGTTACCAGCTCAGTTTCATGAAAAAGGTAAAAATATAATGAAATATTGCTAAAAGGTTTTCAAACTCCCTATTTTTACATCAAAATGTTCTCTTATTTTACAAATCAGTGAACAAAGATTTGCCAGGTTGGAAAATGACTGCAAAAAAGAACAGTATCCTCTCATTTAGTCATGCCCTCTTTAAGGCCATTTACACCAGGGAACAATCCCTTCAATAAGTATTTTTATTTAGCCCATTTTCCTCCTTCATATCCGTCTGCATTAGACTGAAGCACTGGTTGTTCATAGCTTGAGTCATCTCGTTTGTAGCTGCATTAATGATGCAGGAGTGCGGGATATAATGATCATGATGTATGTGCAGTGTAAACATCAAAGGAGATCCAGTTAAAGAACACAGGAAAAATACAAAAAAAAATTCTTTTGACCTTTGCTTCGACGTTACAGATGATCATGCTACTCATTTATAATTTACAGCCTGAAGCAACATGGGTCTCATTTCCCTTCTCAGCAAGAAAAAAAATAAAGAAACTCTTGAGTAGTGATACAGAAAACAGGGAAATACCATTAATGTGGCCCAGCTTTTGCAATCCAGGGCAATGTGCTGGAAGTATCCTGTCATTTTATTGTGTGAGATAATAATTTCATGTCCACAAGAAGGCACATTGAAAAGCTACAGGAATGCAGTGTGAAATTAGTAATACTTGATATTACATTTGCCAGCTTCACTGGGCATGGAACACTTTGTCTCCTCTCCGTTATCAGGTCACAACGTGAGCTAGAAATTTCATAGTCATTATTTAGATTATATTAGTAGCATATACCAGCAAAGCATGTTATGGTTATGAAACCATGGATTAAACAAAATCATAAACAGGCAGTTTTGGGGCAGAATGTGTCCACAAAGCAGCTGATGTAACTGCCGGGTGGCTGCTAAGCTCTTCGTTCACACATCTCTTTCCTTTTGCAAAAGCATCCACGTATTGGCAAAGATTTGTTTGTTTTTTCATGCTACTGTTCTATCTATGAGTAAGAATCAGCTTTGAGGAGTTAATGAGATTTGTCACTGCTCCCAAAGTTTATTTACACAGACCTAGAAATTTTATTACACAGAACTAAGCCAATATTATGCTATGTCTGTAAAAGCAGCCTCATGCAGGAAAAGGAATGAAAGGGCCAAAAACAATCATTAAGTTCAGTTTCTTGCAGTTCTAAATGTCTATGGCACAACTGACTGGTTGAAGAGAACATCCTTTTCTCCTGACACCCTTAAGAGCTATAACAGACAACCAAGAGTCACTTGGTGTGTCACACTTGCAGTGTGACACAAATTTAGAAGATAGAGGTTAATAGTGACTCAAATATCTCTCTATTAGCAGGAAATGTGTTAAATAAACACCCAGGAGGTCTTAGAAATTAAACTACAAAAGAACACAGAAAGATTGGAGGCTGGAGCCAGCCTGGAGCTAGGAGCAAACTACATCTGACCTCAGTCATGGCAATTTGACCACGTTTGATCATCCTGTTGCCTAGGAGAACATGGTGGTACCACATCACTGGTGCCACATCCAAAGCCCAGCTTTCATGTTTCAAAATCCAGGATAAAAATAATAAAAAGAAAAAAAAATACAAAAAATTGGTACAGTCAGCTCCCAAAGACCAAAAATACTCCTTAACATGCCTTACATCCACATGTG